GGGGGAGTTGAAATGATTCGTGACTGGGAGGTGCAGTTGTTTATTGCGAACCGAGTGTAGGTGTTCTGCAAAGCGGTCCCCGAGTCTCCGCTTGGTTTCTGGGATGTCAGTACACCTCCCCGCCGAGAAGTGGCGCTGTTTCAGGAGGACCGGCTCCTCCCCGCCGACGGTTGTGCGGTATTGTGAACGATTGGCTCCTCCCCGCCGGGGGTGGCGCTGTTATGTGGAGGATTGAGATCCTCTCCCCGCCGGTGGAGGGCTCGCTGTTTGAGGAGGAGCAGCTCCTCCCAGCCGAGAGCGGCAGGGTGGTGTGGCTCCACCCTACCGACGGTGACGCTGTTTGTAGAGGACTGGCTCCACCTCGCCGGGGGCGGTGCTGTTTCAGGAGGACTCCCTCCAACTGGGCGGTGCAGTAGCATGGGGAATTGGCTCCCTCCCGCCGGAGGGTGGCTCTGTTTCAGGAGGATTGCCTCCAAACTCCCATCCCGCCCCACCAGCCCAACGGGACGGCGGTGCAGTGGTGCGGAGGGTTGGCTCCTCCCACCAGAGAGTGGCGCTGTTTCAGGAGAATTGACTCCGTACCACCCCCAGCTTTTGGCCGTGCAGTGGTGTGAAGGGTTGGCTCCTCCCCGCCGGGGGTGGCGCTGTTTCAGGAGGTGCCTCCGCACCACCCCCGCCGTTTGGCGGTGCAGTGGCGTGAAGGGTTGGCTCCTCCCCGCCGGGGGTGGCGCTGTACCAGGAGGGTTGCCTCCTCCTCCCCGCCGTTTGGCGGTGCAGGGTTGGCTCCTCCCCGCCGGGGGTGGCGCTCTCTGCGGAGGACCGGGTCCTGCCCGCTTGTTGTTGGAGTTGAAGAGGTTTGGTTTGGGTGTGTCAGTTTGTGATCGCAGGGAGAGGAGAAGGAGCTGGGTGTCTTTGGGAAGTGTGGCCGCAGGAGCAGCTGGTGGAGCAAAGGTGAGTGCAGACGGTCCATAAAGCTTGACGTGGAGAGCGGGAGGTTGGCGGCTTGAAGCTGAACTTGGGCCTTCAGCAGCAGAACAGCCCCCGGGCTCTGGGCTCTCCTATTGTGCAACAAGCCAGGCACCCAGATGCTGTGAGGAAACTGCAGCCCTGTGGCAGAGAAGAAGCAAAGGGAAAACTTAAATCCCAGCAGCAGTCAGGCACTTTCTCACTGTTTCCAAGTTTGTCTTGTGCTAGATGTCTGCCATGTTTCGCTTCTCTTTTCCTTAGGGGCTGGGCTTCTCGTTTTGTTTGCTGTGGTTTTTTTTAGTAACACTGCCAGTTGCCTCAGTGCTGAGCTCCTTGGAGGGAGAGGTGTGGGGCTAGGGAAAGCAATGAGGACTGTGGTGGTAAAGACAAGGCCAGAAACCACACGATGCCAGGTTGTAGTCCCAGCAGGTTTGTTCAAAATTACAACTGTGTTTCCAAACAAACCTGTTTGGACCATGACCCTGGTGTCGTGTGGTCCCTGACCTTGTCCACCCTCGTCCAACAACGGCACCTCCACGTCGTGGTAAAGACAGAAAGTGTGGAGGTACTCCACAGGGAGCTCCCTGTGGGCAGAGGAACATAGTTAACATTTTGGGTCTGGTATGACATATTAAAATGTCAACTCCGTACCCCTCTGTACTGGTGCTGGTGGATCCTGCCAAATTTCGCCTTCACTCTCTGCATCTTTCTTCAGTTCTCTCCACCATCTGCAGTATTTCACTTTGTGCTTAGAAGTTATGGAAGAATCCCTGCAAAAGCAGAGGGGAAGATGGACTGCTGATGGTTGAAGGAGAAGTCAAGCAAGGAGGGACTGTGGGGGAGAGTGATAAAGAATTTGAAAGGCTACAGTTGGGGAAAAAATGGTTTATTCTTGCAGACAACTGACATGGATTTGCTGGGGAAAGTTTGTTTTCTGTAGCTCTGCTCGTTAACTTATTCCGTTTATATGTCAAGAGTCAAAATAACAGCACGCGTGAATTGGGAGGTGGGGCTGAAGAAAGTTGCTCGGGTAAAGGTGAAGGATTCACGGTTGTTGGTTTGGAAGTTGCTGTTAAAAGAGTCTTGGTAAGTTGTTGCAGTGCATCTTGTGGATGGAGGATACGCACTGCACCACTGTATGTTGGTGTTGGGAGTGAATGTTTGTGGATGTGGTGCAACTCAACTGGTTGCTTTGTCCTGGATGATGTTGGACTTCGAGAGATTTTGGACTGCAAATGGAAATATTCTGTTACGCCCCTGATCTCTAATTTATAGATGGTGGATAGGCTTTGGGGAGTCGGGAGGTGAGCTACTCACCACCACATTTCTGGTTCCTAGCTGATCTTCTCACCTCAGTGTTTATATAGAGTCATATATATAGTTATATAGAGGGAAGCAGACCCTTCAGACCAACCAGTCCATGCCAACCAAAATCTCAAACTAAATTAGTCCCACCTGCCCACATTTGGCCTATATCCCTCCAAACATTTCTTGTTCATTTTCTCTGGAAGTTCATTCCACACACGAACCACTCTCTGTGGGGGGAAAAATAATACCCTCGTGTCTTTTGTAAATCTTTCTCCTCTCACCTTAGAAATATGACCCCTAGTCTTGAAATTGTCCACTCTAGGGAAACGGCACCTGCCCCTCATGATTTTATAAACTTTGAAAAGGTCACCCCTTAACCGCCTATGCTCCAGTGGAAAAGAAGTTTCCATAATATCCAACTTCTCCTTATAACTCAAACCCTCCAGTCCCGGCAACAACCTTGGGGTAAATCTTTTCGGATCCCTCACCAATTTAATAATATCCTTCCTATAAAAGGGCAACCAGAACTGGACCCTGTACTCCAAAAGTGGCCTCGCCACTGCCCTGCACATGACATCCCAATTCCTGTACTCAATGGTCTGAGCAATGAAGGCAAGCGTGCTAAATGCTTTCTTAACTACCCTATCTCCCTGTGATACAAACTGCAAAGAATTATGTACCTGATTATGGATTTGTACCTGGTCCAGTTGATAACTGGTTAAAGATAACCCTCTGTTGATGGTGGGAGGGTTTGGCCATGGTAATCCTGTTGAATGTCAAGGGAGATGGTCTGATTCTCTCACGTTGATGACCCACATTGTCTGACATGAGAGTGTATGAATCTGACTTGTCATTTACTATCCCACGTCTGAATGTTGCTCAGATCTTGCTGTAAATCATGCAGAATAGGTTCACGAGGATAGGACTGAGAAACATCAGTACCACCCCACCAACCTCCGGATCCAACGCATCATCCTCCGACACTTCCGCCATCTGCAATCCGACCCCACCACCAAAGACATCTTTCCCTCCCCACC